TTCTAAATGTTTTCCTTGCAACTTATAGTATATTTTTGCTCATTTACCAACTGTTTTGCACGATTTACAGTATGGTTGAAAACTTTTTTTTTTTTTTGGAAACGGCCGAAAATTCATGCGCGCGCGGATCGATGTCATCCATGTAATCAAATCAACATGGCCTTACCCGTACAGCGAATGGTCCCGCCCGCAGCCAATCAGAAGTGGCCGTCCGTTTGGCGCGTCACGGCGACTACAGCGCCGTCATGCGGATCTCGGCGGGACTGTACTACAGCACGGACTACGTTCCCGCCAAATTTCACTCCCTCACAGACGATCCTGACCACACGGTGTTCGTGGCAGAGGTTGGAGACCAAGTGGTGCGTACAACAAAAATACATACAACATATGAAACGAGTAGGAAGTCCCTACAGTAAAAAAAAAAACATAAATAAGAGTAGAAAGCACCACAATACTTATTTCCATAACTAACTTGCGTATGTACTTCTGTATCCTGAGTTACATACCTGCAGAAAATGATAAAGATCCAAGTTTTAAACACAAACGTCACAACAATTCCAGAATAAGCTCTTAGGTAGCCAAAACCTACAATTAACGCCTTTGGCTCACGTGAAAAACGAACACCATAGAGCATGTCAAGAACAGAAGATATGTTGTCTTTTTATGCAGTATCAAGGAATTGCACGAGGAGTGACGTATTATATTGATCAGATGTACTGTGGATGTACGAGACCCAAGAGTGGTGTACTAGTATTAATACATTTTATCTTGAAAGTTCATCTTTGTTGGTAGAAGTCATTATGCAGCAAGTTTAAACTGTAATTTCAAGCACAAGAAATTGGACTCACCCAAATTTTCGACTGTACAACTCCAGTCTTTGTCAAGGAATGAACAATCCACCGCTTCCGTGACGTCACGCAGATAACACACGTGACTCCGTGAGCAGTGGATCATAGGTTGCAGAAAGTCTGTGGCGCCCCCCGTCTCTACGTGACGTCACGGAAGCGGCGGATTGTTCATTCCTTGACAAAGACTGGAGTTGTACAGTCGAAAATTTGGGTGAGTTCAATTTATTGTGTTGGAAATTACAGTTTAAACTTGCTGCATATATTAATACATTTGTAGAGTCATCCATCAAAACTAATGTCCAGACAATAAGTTTTTTTTTTTCACTCAGGTGGGGATGGCAGCATCAAAATACACGGAAGACGGGCGTGTCTTTATAGGCAAAGCCGCTAGGGTCGCTCCTGACTGGAGGGGACAGGGTATCAGCACAGAGTTGTGCGTTCAGGGAGCGGCCTGGATCCGCCAGCATCGCCCCACGGTCAAGTACGTGAGAGGAGTAACGCTTTCTGTCAGCCCTATGACGAAACAATTCCAGACACGAAAACGGCATATTTTTAGCTCGGTGAGTTAATTACCGATACATGATATACACTTGTCAGTTACTATCAGGCACGGAAGTACTACGTGTGGCAGCGTGTTCGGCTCAGGACCGAGAGGTTCGAATCCTACCCATGCCCTTGGGAAAGGCACTTGACATCACCTCACTCAGGTGAAAATGAGTACCTAGCTTCAGTTAGGGGCGTCCCTCGGATAGGACGTTAAATGGAGGTCTTTTTTAAAAGAGTAGGAGACCTTCCCGGTGTGAGCCTGGTTCAAACCTTACGTACAGCTCTTACGCAGCTTGTACTTACAGGTACAAAAACTGGTGTGTTACGTCTAAAGACGGTTTACCGGTTATGCAAACAAACAAACAAACAACCACTGTCATGAAACAAACAAGCAACCACTGTCATGAAACAAACAAGCAACCACTGTCATGAAACAAACAAGCAACCACTGTCATGAAAGGCCCAGATACTCTCTGGAAGTCTAAATCATTAATTTCTTTTTCCTAAATAACTTCATTTGATGATTTTCAATTCTCCTCAGCCCTTAATAGGCTACCGGTGCGGCCCCGGTCTCTGGTGGCGACAGGACCCTGCTCAGCTGGCTCAACTGGAGCCGACCGGCTTACCGGACGTCGTGCCTCTACAGGACGCAGACGACGACTTCTGTACGGCCGTACAGAAATGGCTTCCCGCCGGGGCTTGTGGTGGCTACGACGGTAAACCCATCATACTGGTTGACTGGGACCCGTACAATCTATGCCCAGCTAACTTAGAACGTCTACAGAAAGAGAGCACGCTTTTTACACTTAAGCACGAAGGAGAAATGAATCTGAGTATTGTAACCACATACTTAGCTCCTTGTGGTAGAATGCTGTGTATCGATGTATATGCTAAGGACTTTCCTACTGTGCAGAAACATGTGTTGAAACATCTGTACGACGCAAGCTTTAGATATACAAGTGACCAGGTCTGTATGCGAGTATTTTCAGGTGTGATTGAGTTGGAGAACACAATCCACGACTTCTGCAGGGACGTTTTAAACATGGACGAGCTGCACAAGTTTAAACCGGGCGTACAAGCAGTACTTTTCGAAAGTGAGCTGTGAGGTACTAGGTGGCAATTCCTGCCACACGTGTTTCGTTGTAAGAAAATGTCCCAGTCAAAAGAGTAAGTTTTGTAGTCAAAATTATGCACCATTCCGTATGTAATTTTCTTATATATACTTTTTACTGATGGAAAATAAATTCTCAGTACTTTTTCTGCCCCCAAAAACGTGGCAGAAACATTAGAATACACAAATTATGTACAATGTATCTGAAAAAAAACTCCACTGAAAAAAATGATACAATTTTACTCTCACTAATACTACCTAGTTAAAGTCGTTTAAATTTTCAGTTATTTGTTTATATCTTCATTTAATTTATTCTATTTCTCGTGTAATAGCCGTTACGCCTAGCGATTTTCTCTTTCCAATATTGTTTTAGTTTCATTTTTCAAAATAGTACGTTTTATGTATTATTTTGTACTATATCATTCAAAACAACGCAGCGTAAATACATGTCTGTGCCTTTTTTTGTACCAGAAAACTTTTATATTATAATCAATAGTTACTACACGTCCTTGTATATTGAAGCCTGTAATATTTGATTAATCCAAGAATGTCACATAACGTTATATTACACGGTACAACGGGCTTCTAGAAAACTTCATTATGGAAAATGTAAGCATACATAGTATACATACTATAGTCTTAGTGATGAGACATAATAAAGTCTTAATTGTATCTTTTTGTACTGGTATCATTTGTTTTGTTTTTTTCGCCTGACAATAACTCCCAGACAGGCAAAATGGATTTGATATTGCCTTTGCAGCCACCAAAAGATCCGCTTTGAGATTACTCCTACATTAGGACGTATACGCGTAGTTTTAGTCGTCACATCACATCTCAGATTCATAAACTAGCGCCCGTGCCTTGGGTGGATGGACCTGTTCCATTTGTAAGGCCACACCAAGTAAATTTTATGGATGACGTCCTTTGGAGACCCTAAATCTAATGCGAGAGGGCGAAAAAAAACCCAAGAAAGGCCCTGAAAAACAAGATGCCTAGATTAGAAATAAACTAAGAGACGACAAATGTTAGGACACAAATTGAATGAGGTGACACAGTGTAACAAGCAAGAAGTCTAACTGACTTTTATTCATCATCAAAAAAGCAATGAATTAGGTGGAACAGCAGTTATCGTCCTGTCCTGTTTCTTTCATCTCATTTTTGCAGGCCTGCAGAAACAAAGCATGTGCTCTTTACCCATTTGGCGTTACGGGTTTCACGTCAACCTAACGATTTGTGGCACTGTCGTGACTCTTTGGTCATAGTTACAGGAAGCGGAATTTCTTTTTTTTTCTCTAGAAACAGGCCAAAATCAATGCGCGCGCGGACGTCATCCATAAAATTTACTTGGCGTGGCCTAAGGTTTGTTTACACAGATCAGTGTCTTCTAATTCACACTGGGGAACAAACACAACATGTCACTGTGGTAGGTGTGACTTGTGTCCTTCAGGTGCCTCAAAAGGTGTTTTAAGGCGGTTGAAAAGTCCTTGGAGTAGATTTGGACGCACAATATTCTCACTGTAGGCGTGAGGTATGTGTTGGAGAGACATCAATAATTCCGATTTTAAACTCCGATTTTGATGGTAATTGTTTGTTTAAAAACTCATTGTTTACTTCCCCAAATCAGGCATTTATTCAGGCTATCTATGCGGCCTTGTGTAACAAGTTATAATGATTGGCTATATTATGCGCTGCATTTTGAACTTTAAATCAACAAAATCGGTCAATGCTATCTGTAGTTACGAGTGTTTAAAGCATTGCACCCCATTAGGCTGATTATCAAATCGCCGGGAATATAGCAATGCATCATGGGTAATTTGAAGACAGTGTGACTAACAAAATGCGTCCTGTGCCCTGGACATCTACCCACAGGACGTTGTTAACGCTTATGCCATTAACAACGTGAAAACGACTTACTTTTCAGCTACTTTCCGACAAAAAAAGGTTAATTTAAGAAGCCTATAAGTTATACAATTTATATAAGTCATAAGCGAGCGAACACCTGTGCTGTTTTGCCACCGTAGCAATTTTCGCGTTCGCGAATGGTTTTCTTCCAACGTTTTAAAATCATCTTTATTCCATACAAGATGAATGACATATTAAAATACATAGCTAAAAACCTAGGACAATCCTTTGTCTCATGTTTAGGTAACAAGAGGAGGACGCAAGGTGGACAGACAAAAATACAATATACTAGTCACTGTGTGCATCGGACATACAGACGTTCTCTATTAAAAATTGCCATATATAATTATAATTACGGGTACATTATATAACAATTACAATTTAGAGTTCTTAAAAAGACAGCAGCTAAATTTTACATCTAGTTTTTACAGTAGAACAATCCTGAAGTGCATTCCCAAGCAGGCGTGTTTCTGGCACAATAGATTGCATAAGATGCACAAAGTGCGCACTTTCCAAGTCTACTTTTAAGATGTCTGACATTACATAATTTCATTACATAAAGATAGCTAACACCAGGTATGGACGAAAGTAATCGATGAAAACAAACGCGCAATTCTCGAAGAAAGAAAGACAATCCTACCTCTTTAGGCTTGCTGGTGCTTCTGGACCTGAAAGAAACTATTTATGTTATAATGTGTGCCTTTATTTGCTGGTGAAAATAGACCCATTCGACTTTCACGGATCGCATAAACTGCTTACGTCACAGGGGGGACATTTCGAAAGAACGTCGTTCTAGAACGCTGAAGTCGAACGCGGCTTGCGCTCGCGGTGTCCCCTCTGGCATATCATTTTTTTTACTAAAAGGTAGGTAAGTGTCTATTTTCTAGGTAATATATGCGGAAATGACAGGAAAACAGGCACCAACTTTGTTTGGCGGCAATCCGTGCAACAATTTAAGGTTATTTTGTTCTGTGACGTATGCAGTTTATGCGATCCGTGAAAGGAACTTTCGAAATGTCCCCCCTGTGACGTAGTTTCTATTCGAAATGTCCCCCCTGTGACGTAGGCAGTTTATGCGATCTGTGAAAGTCGAATGGGTCTATTGTTTTGTTATTCGTTTTTGTGGAGAGAAATCCTGCTGTGTGACCGCCTCCTAACACGGCAAGTCTTCGAATGATACTGAATTCGAACATAAACAACTTCGCTGCTTAGCAACTGCTTGTTGCAGCACGTTCGAACCTGTAAACAACCCAGTTGCTTAGCAATTGTTTGTTGTCACGGATTCAAATTTAACGGTCTTCGAGCGCAGTGTACGGGGACAATCAGACACGACCGATGAAAACAAACGCACAAAACATGAAAAAAAGAAAGACAATCCTACCTATTTTAGGCCTACAGGTTCCCAAGGTGGTGTAAGAAACTATTTGTGGAAAATTTGTGCCTTTATTTGCTATCAAAAAGTGTTTGTTCATTTCCTTCAGACCGTTCCTGCTGTGTGGACGCCTTTTTTTGTGAGCGAAAGTAATCGATGAAAACAAACGCTCAATTTACGAAGAAAGAAAGAAAATCCTACCTCTTTAGGCTTGCTGGTGCTTCTGGACCTGAAAGAAACTATTCCAGTTAAATGTGCGCCTTTATTTCCTGTTGAAAATTGTTTTGTTGTTCGTTTTCTTGGGAGAAATCCTGTTGTGTGACCGTCTCCTAACACGGCAAGTCTTTGAATGATACTGAATTCGAACATGTAAACAACCTGCTGGTTCTTAGCAACCACTTGTTGTGGCATATTCGAACTTGTAAACAACTCTGTTGCTTAGCAATTGTTTGTTGTCACGGATTCAAATTTAACGGTCTTCTAGCGCAGTATAGGAGACGTCTCGCACAATCAGACACGACCGATGAAAACAAACGCGCAAAACATGAGGACAGGAAAGAAAATCCTACCTTTTGACAGGTGCCCAGGTCCAGAAAAATGATATATCTTAAATTTTTACCTTTATCTTGTTGTGTGACCGCCTCCTAGTACGGCCATTCCTCGGATGGCGAACCTGTAAACAACCTTGCTGCTTACCAACCGCTTGTTGTCGCGCATTCAAATTTTACGGTCTTCTAACGCAGAAACGTTACACACCAATAACGAAACCAATCGATGAAAATAAGCGCGCAAAACACGAGAAAAGTAAAGAAAATTCTAGATGTTTGATCCTAAAGCTTGAAATAAATTATTTATGTTTTAAATGTGTGGCTTTATTTACTATTGATAATTTAACGGTCTTCTAGACTATCGCAGTACACACAGAGAACAAAACCGATCTCGAGCGATGAAAACAGGGCGTAAAACACGAGTAAAGGAAAGAAATCTTACCTCGTTTAAGCCCTATAGGTTCCCAAGGTCCTGTGTGCCTTTATTTGCTGTTGAAATGTGTTTCGGGTTTTGTTGATCCTTTTCTTGGAAGAGATCTTGTTTTGTGTCCGCCTCCTAGCACGGTCAGTCTTCGAATGATACGAAATTCGAACAGAAACAACCCCTGTTGCTTAGCAACTGTATGTAACCTCAGATGACCCCAGGTGTGCCATTTGCTCTAGAACGTCTCACGTCTGACACACACGCTCACCTATACACACACACACACACACACACACACACACACACACACACACACACACACACACGACACGACGACGACACGACACGAC